CTTCAAAAAAAAAAGGCGCCCCTGCCACTGCATGAATGCCACATGCCCCCCAGAGGCTGCAGGGGCACGGCGAGCTCCTGCAGGTAGTGGTGGTGCTGTTGATGGTGGGGGTGGGGCGGAGGCCCCCTGCCACAGGCAGCTCTCGGCGGTGGGGTTGGGGGGGAGGGTGGCGCTCACACTAGTGGTCGGCGGCCACCCACAGACACCGCCAGCAGTGGCAATGGTGATCAGCGGCGATCGTGGACTGCCCACAGATGCCTCCAGCAGTGTCGGTGGCCCCATTTTGCAGGGGGTGCACCTCCACCATTGGGGTACATGTGCACCCGCGTGCACCCCTATGTGTCTCCAATGTACCCCTGCAGTTTACGAGACGCCCAATTCTGCCAGTGCATCTTAGGCATGTTTTGAGAGTGCTTGCGGGATCAACCCCCTGAAGGGACTTCAGCAAAGGGACACCTAGGGCATTTTTATATCTAGTCCCAACATGGCACCGGGTGCTTTTAATTAGCAAGCCGTGCTAATTAAAAGCACCCAGCACCATGTTGGGAGCACATGGCTTAGCCGTGCAGTGCACCCCTGTGCTGAGAAAATGGTGGCGGTGCACTTTGGACTAAAGCACATTGAACGTGTTTTACTTCAAAGCACACTGCTGCCATTTTCCCAGCTCAGGGGCGTGCTGTGCCGCTGATACACGTGACACGCGAGGCTGCCAGTGTATCAAATTGCATTCTCCAGCACATTTGATTAATCAAGTCTGCTTGTACACTCGTACGCATGTTGGAACAGGCTTTTTGCATGTGTGTAAGTGCCCCAAGTTTTTGGCACTGATTTGATTTGGCATGGGCTTGGTGGCAAGCTGCTGGGTATAGATCAGCTCCACAAATGCACGTAACTAGAGATCCCGTTACCTAGTATGAAGTCAAACAGGGAAAGTTTAGGTGCCTAGGGATTAGATGGCAGCTGAGCACGACAGTTTGTATCACCTAAATTCCACCTTAGTCTTGTTTTTGGCCCTAAGGCCCAGCTCAAATCCTTAGTCTTTCTATGACTCAGCTCCCCATCTGTAGCAGAGCACTTCCCTACCTCCTTGGGCACTGAGGTACTCTCAAGGAACCTGAAATCACTTGAAATGCAAAGAAACCTTCCCCAGTCTTGAACTTGGCCCATAGAGGGTCACTGCTTTGGATGCACTGGTGAGTGCTACAAAGAAGCAATGTGACCAAGCAAAACAGACTGCTGTTTATTCTGATACCGGAGTCTTGACAGCTTCAGTCCAAAAGCTCCCTGAACCTTGGTGGATGCCGGGGTCAGTGAACCTGGATGCAATCAATCAGGGAATGTAGAGTTACAGGACTTTGTGCATCGAGGCCTGGGGCAGAGTGGGTGCAAGCATACAGGTACAAGAAGACCCCAGTCGGGGACCACAGAAGAGACTCCCTGGTGGTAGAAGCCTGCTGGTTCAGTAGCTCAGCACAGACCACAAGCCAAGGGGGCGCATGGGCTTATTCAACATAGGCCTTAACAGGATCAATGAGTCACTAAGCAAATGTTCA